TTTATTCGAAAGTTATAATGATTAACGATGAAACATATTCAAGCAATATTCCATTTCTATAAGTAGATATTAATGTCCTAGATTTAAAGCTGTGGAGATGCTACAAAAACGGCATATTGCATCACACATTCGTGCTTTATTCCGCATTATTTATCCGTCGATTCTCAGCAAAAAAATGTATCTTCTCACAGGATCGATTCGAACCGGTCCTGAGTTTTTTTTTTTCGTTCTCGCTTTTTCTAATAAAGTCGCTTCCGAGGTTTGACGGACTCAAAAGAGTCGTAGCATCTCGGCCGGAAATTTTTGAGAATTTATGAGCGAGATGCTGAATATGTGAAAAGTAAAAAAGGCGCTTCTTTTCTTGTCTGGCTTTAAATCATCTTGCGTGCATGGTGTGTAACCAGGAATCCAAGATTTAGATCTACGATTTTTTTCGATGCCGCCCGCCAAGATAAAAACGTTTTGTATGTCGGGAATGAAATATATTTGAGTGTATATTTGAGCAAATACGATTTTTTATTTAGATTTCGAGCAGGTGCTTGCCGGAATGGATGATTGTAGGTAAATTGCGCGTTACGTGATAGAGAAATATATCAAAAGAATTAGTACCTAATTCAACATGCATATAAACATGGAAATTATAAAATTATCCTACAAATATTTATTTTCCAAGAATATTCTAATAGGAAGATATTTTCAGAAAGCATCAGTAGAATCAGTAGAAAACTTGATATTTATTTTAGTGTTAAGTTATAAAATGTTTGGTAAATAGATTTTACTCATCCGTACATTATTCTAACAAATCCAATATTAGAAATAAACACACTCGGATCGTTTACGGGAAATGCGGAAAGACACAAATAAACCCGCCATTTTCCAATTTTCTTGGTCTTTTCCTAAACATGTTTATTGGAGGAAAACCAATAAGCCGCAAATATCGCTTCCAATAAAAAGAGAAAATGGTTAACTAAAAAGGCGAATGAATATGAGATCAAAGTAAAGTTATATATCTGAAAAGCGGGATGACCGACAGATCGCTTTCATAGGTTTTTCTCTTAACATACCGTGTACGTTCCACGGTAATGGAAAACATTGCATCGGGATATAGAGAGCAGGGGAAAAGCGGAATAAAAATAGTATATTGGTTTGTGTTTAAAGGTAATGTTCTTGTTAGAGGCAATAAATAACAGATGCAATTTTCAGTTTGGTAACGGTGACGCGACCAAGATTAAAGAAGCGAATCTAAAAGTTGGCGGATTATATTCCCGCTTCCGCCATATATTGCATGGAAATGTAAAAACAATATTAAATGCCGCATTGTGCAGGGGAAATTTGGGGATATACCGGAAAATGTTTCTTTATACAGAGCACCCAATCTGCCCTCCACGCCTCTTACATTGGGAAGGAAAAACTCTGAATACAAAGGAGATTTTGTATTCAATTTATGATTGCTTCGGCATACCTCTCCATCAGACGTAACTTATTAAAAAGCTTTAAAAATAAATATTCTATAAGTCTGTCATTCACTGTCGTTTCTATCAGCACATAGATATGATATATCTGGGTAACAGGAGAAAATCCACAGCGCATTTCCCTGATCTGCATTGGCGGTTACGTGCGCAAATTACAACAAGTCATTGTCGAGTTTGGCGGTCGCATTATTCGATGTTCATCATCATAATGTGGAAGAGGGCGGCGGGTGTCGTATGTATGTATCGCAATACTACAGAGGCATTAGCATTCAAATCACAAGGAACCGTATGCATCTGCTAATTCGACTCTTCACGCGTCATGTATGAACACGTGTTTGATATTTCAATTAATATGTCTCCCGCTTGAAATGGACGCCTGTCTTTGAATCTCAATGGGTTTACCTAACTTTTCGGCATTTGCATAATGTGCACGTGTCCCAAATAAACGAGCTGAAGATAAAATAAAAACGGTAAAAACACGCCTATATACCTACAGGGCAGTGTTGAAGTATAGGACATAAACAGTCGATATATTTTTGGTGCTTTTTTAAGTAGAATACTCTGCAATACAAATAAAAGTACCTATGATAAACAGGGCGGAAAATTTTCGAAGGAAATGCCCTGCAAGATGAAAAAAGAAGCGAAATTCCATTCGGACGGAATGCTTCATGCCAACAATAAAATGCGAAAGATGAATAATTCGGGCGTTTCGTTTCGCCATCGGCATTGATAAAAATAAATGAAAGTACTAAAATCAGTTGGGCGAATGAAATGAGACGAGATTTTCGTTCCAATCATTTGATAACAAAAATGGTTGCAATTTACTGCATCGTATGACGGAGCGTTCCGATCGCTTGGGAATAGAAAACGCCGAATTAGTTTCGGATTCGAATAAAAATAAAATACGTTTCGATGTACCTACGTTTCATTTCACTTATCAATCGTTGCTACTGTAAAGGTGAAAAATGTTTGTTAAATCAAGAAAATGACAACTTTTATTGTCTACAAATCGCACTGTATTGGTAAAAATTTCTATATATTGGTATTTACTTATTTGATTAGTTCAAAATGTATTTTACTGGACTAACAACCTCAATACGATATGTAATAATTATAATCGAAATAATCGAGGTTTTCATGATTTTATTGAACATAGTTTTTTTTTCTAAATCAAATATTAAATATAACGAATGAAATTCCAGGAATGACGGACGATATATCCATAATTAATTCGAAATGTGTTCGTTCGGAAGGCATTTTAGTGTATTAAAATGAACAAACGCGAACCGAGCAAAAATTATACGTATGTCCGCATACGCTATCATTCGTACGAAAATTTACGATTCGCAATTTTTGGTACACATTTTTCCACATTAATTAGCCGGCGCGCAACATTAAAATGTACTTACGTTCGAAATTATTAACGATAATATTTGTTTTCCGTGCATTTCGGACGATAATTGGTCGTTTGAATTAACGAATAAATCGAATTATTTTTGCATTTGTTTTGGCGTTCGCTTCGAATTAGAAATTCCCATTTCAAACATTACTGATCAATTTTCCAAACAAATATTAATGTAATCCGATAATTGAAATGAATTTTTTTTTCGCACTCGAACCTGTTACATGCACATATTTTTGTAAGTGCACGTTATTCATATAAATTGATTGATTAATAATTGCATTCTATTCAGAATGTTTCAATTAAAAATACGTTAGCAACAAATAACTACAGAATAATACGTTATTTAATAAAACAATTATTTATTTTGATTGAATCTACCCCTTCTTAAATTATATAAATTTTTTAGTAAAAAAATCCGTATTTTAATTATGGAATGTTATCTACGAGAATACATATTCATTCATAAAACATTATACTACAATATTTCCACTGTATTCATTTATAATTTAAATAAGCACCATACAAAGCATGCAAGGAAATGTAAGCAGGTCGAGTTATTATTCAAAAAATACCGATGATGCGAAACTAAACGCAAATAAACCGTTGTGATTTTTCATCAGAATCTAAAATACACATGAACTCCAAAACCGCTAAGCTTTTTACGTGCGGTGCACATTCGAAATGCATTGTTCAGCATCGGATTAAATAGTGAAAAGGTTATATCCGAAAAATCAATAAACTAATTGTAAGTACGTTCCGTGTTAAATAAATAAAAGGTTTAGTTTGTTTTTCCTGAGTTTTCCCATGCAACTTAACGATCGGTAAAAGTTAATTGTATTAGTTCGAAAAGGGTTTATTTCGATTGGGAGATGTCCAAGTTTCCGGAGTAAAATTGAACTTTCGGTCGTTACTTCCTACATACAGAGCAGATAATTAATTTATTAAACAGGTAGGAACTTAATCGAAAAATTAGCAAATTATTATTTAGGTATTAAGGTATTTTACTACATTAATTAATTATATAGTAAATAAAAAAGGGTAATTCGAAGGTAAATGTATCAATACAAACACGCTGTATAAAAAATTAATTTGAAGATAAACAAATTTTTGTTAGACTAAACCAACACTGACAGTAATAAGAAATCTACAGCCAGAATAAACAGTATCTCCGTTGACAATTAATTAAAAATACGAAAATAAAGAAGAAAACAAAAAGCTAATTATCCAGGATCTTACTTTGTCAGGATTTCAGTCCGACAAAGAACGTAGAAATTTAAAAAAACATTTCCATGTTCCTAAATTCTTTACGTAATACAATATACATACACGTGATCCAAACCCATTACTTCGCTTCTTTGTATCCAGTATAATGGATTGAAATTAGCATTCAACTTAATCGTCGTAATCCTTCTTAACACATGTGCACCTCGCATAGCACTAGTGGAAAATCGATATCGGACATCGGACTCGGACCCAAATGGATATTGATAAGCCCCATTATGCTCAGGACGCGTAAAAAAATGTTGAATATATTTCAATCACAAAAGCCCTATTTTCTATGTAATTTTATTTATAGCCATTAATTCGGCAATAGTAGAGGAAATGGTAACAAAATCTTCTCTGATCAAGAGTTTAATTAGTCAAAATTCTATATTAACAAATTTATCTAGATAATTATGATAAATCTGGTTACTGGCAAAATGTATAATATGTCGTATAGTACATACATAGGTATTTGAAAATATTAACTCATATTTAAAAAAAATATTCGTCGGCAATCACTCTTGTATTTTAAAAGTTATATTTGTGAGATGGGTGGTCTATAGAGCCGACTAATGACAATGACACAAAAATAAAATTTACAGTATAAATAACAAAGCTTGCAATAAATACAAACAAAAAATTGGAATCTTAAAAACATTTCTGAGATAAAAATTAATTACACCTAGAAATGTGAAAGAAACTAGTTACGTAAAAAGGTAGTTTAAATTCGTAATATCTTCGTGATTTCCTAATTTACCCGATCGATAACGTATAATCGAATTCGAACTATCGAATCCACATACGCTCGTAAAAAGCACAGCAAACAAAAATTATGCAAATTAGATAACAATTAGACTCACCCGATTCCGAAATTGGCGAGGGAGCCGAAGACAGCGACGTCGTCGAATAACTGCTAGATATCGTCGATGAGGAACATTCCGATACGGAACGCCTTTTCGACATGGCGAAGTCTATAGACAGTTGTTCTAACCTTCTCCTAAGAAACCTTTGTTCTCTACATAACTGCTCTTTATACACTGAGTGCTTCCTTTCTTTGTCTTCGAGATTCTGCAATTAAAAAACTGCAGTTAGTTTCACCTACTTGCAACTTTTATATGATGTATGATGTACATAATGATGTACATATGATGTACATAATGATGTACATATGATGTACATATGATGTACATAATCATCGTGGTTCCATAAAAATGTTCCTTATGCAAAGAGACAAATATAAATTCAGGACTTATTAACAACATAATTTAATTCTTCAGCAGGTTTCTGGTTTCTGGAAGTAACAGTTTTGACTCATTGCTCATCATGAGCAAAGTCACGTTCTAAACCCACTTCATAGCAATCAAAAACCCTATATAGAATATACTCAATATAATATACTATTCGCTGATTTAATGCATATGTATAAGCTTCTGAATAGGTTCTTCCAACTGAGCGATTGATTTAGATACGCCAATGGTCCGGCAGGACTGAAATGCATTCGTATCGGTCCGCTTGTATCTATCTCCATTTGGAATAATAATTCCAGCGAACCCGTTTATCGCTCAAGTTACTACTGCTCGTCCTTCGGGAAGAATAAACTACGTTTAAATTAGTTCGCCAATATGGCGTTGCTCAAAAATGTAGCAGAATGTTTCGAGTGTGCGATGTTATTGGATTGGGTTTCGGGTTAAATGTAATTGGTGCCTTTTCGGCGAGGGAATAAAATTATTAGGGTATGAAGCAATTAATTTTAAATACCGGAGAAGTTAAACGTGTATCGTTAGGATGCTTATTTGATAAATTCCTTTCTGTTTAACTACGCGCACTTAATTAATTTATGATTGTTAATTCACGTAAATAGTTGCGATGTTTTTGCATCGAGATTACTGGAAATAAAATATTATTTAGTGAAAGTCTGACCGTTACTTTCAATTAAATTTTATGTAAGCACTAACATCGCATTTAGGTAGGTACAGAATTCAGCACTAGCTTTCTAAAATTGTAACTTTTCGGGAACGTTAATCAAAGATTCAATTAATCGTAAAACGCCTATAAAAACCATATTCCCTCGCCGCTGATATACCGGCTACCATTTTCTATTACCATCCGCCTGCAAACATCATTACCGTTAAAATTAGTTTAGTACCAACATAAATCCGACTTTTACAACGCACGGTATATAGATTGACATGCAAAAGGTAGAGTTGATGTTGCAAACTTAATTTTAATGTTGGCTTTGATATTCCTTATTGCGAAGCGGAAGCAGAATCTACCTTATGATCTCGAGAACGAACGAAGCGTGCATGTTTTAATTTTATCCCTATATACCGTACAGGGTGATTAAATTTCTGTTTAATTTAATCACATCTTGTGGGTATATTTGGCAAGTTTGTTTTTTAAACAACGTTGCCAAATCTATAGAAATTAAATGAAAATTAGGGGCAATTTTTTAATTGTTAAAAAGTGGTTAGAACAAAATTGTATCTAAAAAAAGTTGTAAATATACAGGGTGTTAATTAACTGAGTGCCGATATCTTAGGATGTTACAATTATAGAAAAAAAACTTTTCTATCGTAATTTTCTTATTACTCCAGATATTTTTAGGAAATTTCAGACGTGGACGTCACTGGTAATAGTGAAAAATTAATTTTTGTCCCAAAAAAATTGTTTCCTTGCATGGTAGGCGCCAACCAAATTTCAACAAAATATCAAAAGCAGTCTCAATGAACTTGGGAAAAAATTGTTTTGATTTTTATTTTTTACGCGAAAATGGTGTGTCGTACAAAATTAAGTCTTCGGAGCGAATTTGCTCCAAAATAAATGAGAATTTTAAAAATAATTTTGGTTTTTAGAAAAAGCAGTGGCGCACCATTTCTTCTTCATATGTATTCAATTCAAACCCCGTACGGACGTCACTGGTAAAAATTAAAAAAATCTTTTGCATTAAAAAATGCTCCTTATACGTTTTAAGATTAAATTACGATAGAAAAGTCTAAAACTGTAACGCCCTGTAGCTCGAAAACTAAGAGGTTTAGGAGATATATTGATATAAATTTTTCTTCTTAAAATCATCCAAATATTCACATCCTGAAGTAACGGCACTCAATTAATTAACACTCTGCCTATTTATCGGGCATTTTCAACAAATTTCCAGAGTAAAGATTCTTAATCATTTATAATCACACGTTAAGTTGGACATAAACGCTCTAAAATGATTCTGTTCGAGCAATTAGATAACAATTTAGGTTACTATTTAATGATATTTAGCGAAACGTAGGTACGTTTCCATCCGAATTAAGTAGACACATTAGTTTCAACGTTTTCCGGCGAATTTTCGTTCAAACCCTAAAGAGATTAAATGAAAAACGAGCGTAAACCGCAGCGCGCGCGTCATGCGGCCCTGTGCACTCGTTTCGCGTATTTCCTGTTTTATTTAATCCGGGATAGATAATGGGCATGTCTTTGCGTACATGCGGGCGTATTCGCCCATCCGAACAAAGGTACTAAATTCTTATCGCTCTCCCTTCGATTTGTATTCTTTTATTCGGGGGCAGAGCCGCGATAACGGTTTAAGAGATAAATAAAATGGATGGCGAACGTTAATATTTGACCGCGGAAGGATCGAGATAAAAGATAACTCCCCGCGGGCCACTCTGTTGCGCCCGTATGAAATGGAGTGCAAGCCCGAATGCAACCGAACCATTGGCGGTGCGAGTTATTGATTAACCAAAGTTTTTTCGAACGTAGGTGGCTAATCGCTTCGTTACAAAATAACCACCCAGTATATGTAATTTCCCGTCCATTAGTAATTCACATCCCGATTTTCAATTTTTAATTTCCACCCTTCATTCGAATTAACGACAGGAGACGAGATCTTTTTATTTTCCGCGTCGCGGAAAAGTTTCCCGGCATAGTTGGAGATAGGAGGAGCGCATTCGTTAGAAGTGTTTTTATTTAATTATAGATTGTGGTTGGGTTAATGAAATCGATGTCGAATCACCGAGGAATGTTCCCTCTAATTTCCCATTCCACGTGCTCCTCCGTCGGCATAAAGCCCGAGCGGGCGCTTATTAATTACAGTTATTCTTCTAAGCTCGCAATTACCATTTTAATTGGGATTTATTATTTTTACCCTCGTTGAATTGGTAACATTGCCGGATTCGTGTGTAGCGCGGATCAATGGCGATTTGCATAGTTTTCGCCCGCGATGTCTGACTCCGCGTTCTAAATGCTCGTCCTAAAGAGGAATTTCAACCGAAATTTTCGTTCCGTTTCGCCTTCGTCGGTGCAGCGGTTGAATATTGAATGCAAACAAAAAGATATTCCTGCATATTCCTTTTTGTTCGTGATTATTCAAATTTTATTTCGATTGGACTAATAGAATAATAATTAATAGAATAAAATGTTTGAATTAATATTGTTTACCATCTACATTCAAAAAAAAGGAAAAAAAAAATTGGAGGCGCCGGGCATCGATCCCGGTACCTCTCGCATGCTAAGCGAGCGCTCTACCATCTGAGCTACGCCCCCTGTATCAGCTCTTAGTAAAATCCAATATATAAGATAAGTTGTGCTGTTTAATCAGTTTATCAAATTAAACTATATCAATATATTAAATTATATCATGATGGATTAATTAAAAGGAGTATTAGAAATAAACTATGTATTTTTTATGACGTGATTAAATTTAATTGTATAAAGTAAAAAAAAAATGAAAATGAATCCTTGGTATTGAATAGTTATGTCATTTATTTATTTTTAATTTCAGTCAATATGTGTTTGAATATTTAAATTTCGCATATTTAAAAACGAGTAAATATGTTTCATTCATTTTTGCAAAACAAAAAAAAACTAAATATTTTCAAAAATTTTCATTATATTTCTAATAAAATTATGTTACATAAGTTTGAGTTGAATATACGATATGTATCACCATTCTAACAACAGGGGGCGTAGCTCAGATGGTAGAGCGCTCGCTTAGCATGCGAGAGGTACCGGGATCGATGCCCGGCGCCTCCAATTTATTTTTCCTTTTTTTTCTTCATATTTCAATGGTATAAGCATTATTTTAATTTAAAATTTAATTTTACATTTGAAAAACATACTGTATTCCTGTAAAATTAAAATTATTATTAGACCATACGAAATAAAATTATTATCGTGATTATAATTTACGTTTTACCATAAGAAAATGCGAAAATCGATTTTCCCTCTAGCCGTTCTAGTAAGTACATAATTCTTCTTGCGAATCTTGTCGCGAAACGTTTTCATTTTTGCTACAGTGTACGAACAAAAAGCGAAAAATCCGACGGGTGCGAAGAAAAGTTTCGGATTCGCTAATGAATTACATGGGCCTTTCCTCGACGAAGTAAATAAATAAAATTTCTTGTTATAGAACTTACTTAATTAGTTTCTTGTCTTTAATTACGTTCGCTAGATGTCAGCTGCATAAAATACGTACCGGATACTGGATTATGGAAATTGCGAGATAGGTTCATGGCATGGTCAGTAGTGAGATAATATTCTTTTAGGTATAACGAGAAAAATAAAATGTCTATCAATAAAAAGGTGAAGGACAGCATACATAATTAAATGAAATACGCGTACAACAATCTTTTTATAATATCATTTTAATTGAGATAATTCATTATTATTTATTTTTGTAATTTCGAGTTTACCTTGTAGGTATTTTGTATTCTCAAAGCCGGTCCTGGGTTTTTTGTCTAACTCCCAACTGAAGGCTAGGGCCTAGGGCAAAGGTTGTGTGTCACTCCTTGCTAATTAATAATAAATGTTTTTTAGGGCTTTAATTAAACTTTGTTAAAATTAAGACCCTACTTGAAAACTAATTTACAGGCGTGCCTATTTTTTATTTTATCCAAAAAGTTTTTGTTTGACGTTATCGCCCGGAATCCATCAATTACGAGGGCATTTCTTTTCTACAGAACTTTCATAATAAGGAAATTAGGGAAAAAAGTTCGGAGGATTATTGGACGAGATAAATTCGAAAAATGAAAATTTAAGTTCTCATTTATCCCGCTTATCCTCGCCCTATAAAATTTTCACAC